AAAGAAGCTCATAAGGTATTTTGTTGCCAATTGCGTGAGAGGGAGAGCGAGCATGAAGATAGACTGCAGTATTTACTGCTTCCGCCCAGAGTTCTGGACTTAGTTTCGAATCCAATAGCATACTTCGGGCTTTAGTAGCAATTGTACGGATCATTCGTTCTGAGACTCCATTTTTGTGTTGAGTATATGGTGGTGATGGTTCGAAGGTAATTCCAGATGCTCGTAGGATACCGCGGAAAAGTCGATTTGAGTACTCGCCGCGTCCATTGTCGCAACGAAATCGTGTCACAGCAAACTGTGGAAACCGTTTCTCCAGTTGGGAAAGGAATTCCTGGAAACAACTAGTGACTTCTATAGCTTCCTTGGTGCATAGAAAAAATACTGAGGTAAACCGAGTATGATCATCGATATACAGTATGAAGTAACGGGCACCAGAACAGGAAGGAGTTGTCAGAGGCCCTGCCATATCAGAATGGATAAGTTCGAAGGGTCGGACAGTTTGTAAAACAGGTTGCCGAATGATTTTTCGTTGCTGCTTTGCCTGGATGCACACCACACAAGAGACAAGTTTCTCTCTATCGGTTTCGTTGAGGTCGGTAAGGGTATTCGCAAGAGCTAGCCTTAGTGATTGAAGATTGAGGTGTGCAAAACGGCGATGCCATAAGTCCCAGGATGCTTTTGTAATTGAAGTTCCTGAGTGTGCCAACTGTGCATAGAGGTGATCAACTGAAAGTGGTGAACCGGAAAGTTTCCAGAGTCCGTTCTGAAGTGTTGCTAGCTGACTTGGTGGCATGCTAGCTTTTTGTATGTGACAAACAGAGGAGGTAAAGGTGACAATATACTTGCGGCAAAGCCATCCAACAGAGAGTAGAGAGTATCGAAGCTTGGGAATGTAGAGGGCATCAATCTCAACTATGGCACCACTATAGAGCTTGATGTTAATCTTGCCACGAGCAATACCATGGAGCTCAGTTCCATCTCCAAGATAGACAGGAATAGGAGCTGAAAGTGATGTTAGACTTTGAAACGATCTCCGATCCGGTGTCAAGTTATCCGATGCTCCACTGTCAATAATCCATCCATTTGATTGGTTTGTAGAACCAGTTGTATTCGCAGTCAAGGCATGCTCAGAGACATAGGATGCCATAAGAGCTTGCTCGGGATCATCATTGTTGTTTGTGTTGACATTTCTGGACTGGAAGCGGGAAGAATTTCTGGTGTCGAAGTGATTTCGGGAATGTTGACCCGGGCCATTTCTTCTTCTCTCAGCTCTTTGCCTCGTAAAGCAAGAAGCCTCTGTATGTCCTCTCCTGACACAGTAGTTGCAGATTGGGCCATCACTGCTGCTACCCATCCTTCTTCCATTGCTGGTACTAAATCTTCTTCTTCCATTATTGCCACTACTCATCCGTCTGGCCGCACTTCTGAAGTTTCGATGAGAGTTCTGATTTCTGCGGAATGAAGGACGGTAACTTTCACTTCCACGTCCACGAGAAGATGGCATTGGACGAATATTGGCGGTGAGAGCAGTCGTTGTAGCTGAGGCAGTGTTTGATCCAGTAACATCGTCTTTTCGCTCTAGAATTGCCTGCTCCTTTTGCAGAATTGCTTCGATAAGATGATTGATGTCGAGGTTTTCCTGTGAAAGGATGCGGTCAAGTGTTGGAAGATACTCCTCAGGTAGACGAGAATTTAGAAGCGAGATAAAGGAGTTGGTAGAGATTTCCATGTCGGTACCGAGTAGACGGGACTGGATAGACTTCATAGCGGAGATGAGGGTACCAATACGAACACCTGGTTCAAGTTGAAGTGCGAAGAATTGTCGTTGTAGAGTGGATCGTCTGATACGCGAGGCAGCCACATCGTACTTATTTTTCAGAGAGGTCCACATGGCAATGGGACAATCGAGACCACGGATATGCTGCTTGGCTTGTTGGGTGCAGGAGGTAAAGATCATTCCGAAGGCTCGATTGAGTTTGTTTCGGTATTCGGTATAGGCTGCTTGGTCTTCTAAAGCTGGTGGATTTTGTGAACTGAAAATAACATCGTAGGTTTGATCAGCTCTTATGAAGGCCTTCAGGTCCTCGCTCCAATGGTGGTAATTTTTCTCGTTTAGCTTTTCTGTTGTACCGAATTTGCAGTTGAAGGTTTCGCTTGGTGAAGTGCCAGAGACGAGTTCGGAGAGTTTATTGGAGGTAGACATTGTGACAATAGTTTGGCTGAAGATTCTTGACGGATGGATGGTATTTGTGAAGAGACTTATTGTTGCGCAAAACGCGGGCTCATAACCTGTTGGAAATTGTGGTTGAATTGATGAAGGTTTTACGGAACCGAAGCGAGTAAGTGCTCAAGGAGAGAAAAGTATTTTGCTTGTATACAGAGAGTGGAGTCAAGAGAAAGAAAAGAAGGTGGTAGGTTTGTTGACTGTGCAGAGTGGAAGAAAACAGCAAGCGAGGGACAGAAGGAATTGGGTATGTTTGTTGGTCAGGTAAGAGAAGAAAAATAACATAAGAAAACAAAGTTCAGGGAGCAACGCACAACAAGGACATGAAAGATGTGTAAGCACTTACATATGCACATGAGTGCTTATGGCTCGTATATGAAATCATGCTCATGTTTTCAACAGCCACCTCATTTATATAAACGAGTGATTATCTATGATCGCATATGCGCACCACTTCACGCCCCTCCTGCCTCAACCCGCCTGGATCGAGCTATTTTGCACCGGCAACGCTTCTACCAGCTGGGCTGTGCTCGGGCGGGAGACGTAAAAAACACGAACCAACAGGTATTGCCTCTTCAACTCACGCTGTCAGCTGCTAATCCAATCGCCCAAGCCATCCAAGCAAAAGGACAAATCTCATACACCCCAAAACCCCCAGCTTCCGCCCCTCATCCTACTATGAACTCATATTAAACTAGACCAAAAATAACTCCAAAAGAGTTCAGCAACCGGGATTCCCACGTGGTCACCCACCGCAGTACTAACCGGTCGATACGATACTTGTTTACCGCAGAGCGGACGGGATGCGAAATTTTCATCGTTCTGTGGCCGAACACAACATCTTTCATTTGCTTGGAAATTTATGTCATACTAACTGATGGCATGACCGAGAGAGGGCTGGTGAGTTAATTCGCTTGGCCATGTATTCTTGAGATTTCCCTGCTATTCTCAGACAGAAAGCACCTCAACATCTGATCGGCTCTCTTAGGTTGTCTGTGGGTTGGGTTTGTATGATATGATCCAAATCTTTAGGAAGTCACTGTAGCCCTACCTGCAGAAAAGCCTCCTCATCGACTTCGCCCTCAAGAATAATTTACCACAAATCAAGAATGCAAGATTCAAAATCTAGCGTTTCAATGATCATGGGTGTAGCTGGGATTTGGCGTGTGTAACACCTTTTTCCATACAGATCTGGTACACCAATAGGGATCCGGACGGTCGGAAAATGATTCTCGTCGTGTACTACCGGTAGTGTACTAGTACTAGTACTGTAGCGATCTACTAGATATCAGGCAATCGGGTTAGAAAATCCAAGCAAACTCCCCCCCGCCTTGGGGTTTACTCGAGTAGCGCACTTCGGGGTCTGGTAAGGTGGGGCTGTTACAGGTATGGATGCTAGGCGTATACTATCCAGGGAATTTTGGGCACTTCGAGGGCCTTGTGCCTCTTTGAGTGGGTGAGTATGGATGTTGAGAAAAAGCCCTTTATCTAGGTGATATAAGGGAGACGGCAAAGCCGACCTCTGCATCGTGCGAGATTGAGAAAGGGGGACTAAAAGTTGTGGAGCGGGCGGCTTGCGCACCTGACTGTGAGAATGAGCGGTATACTGTATTGCCCGTGCGATCTGGGGAAAACAGGGAAACTCTGGCAAGGGAAAACAAGGTGCGATGAAGGATCACCAGCTTTTAGAAGAAACTGAACGGACCAGGGCGGCGAAATCTTGAGGTCACTTGGGGATTATCTCAAAGATTATTATGGTACCTTTTAGGGCTATTTTTTCTTAGAGCGAAGCCCCCTGACCCCTTCTACGGCATTCTGTTTTTTCAACCTTATCGTAGGACATAATCGTCAATAGAACATTGACCACCACCGCTACCACTCCCGCCGCCACTACCACTGTTGGAACCACTGCTGGTATTTGCAAGGGAGTTCTTGGTCCAAACCTCTTCATCTCTTTCTTCTGCTATTTCCTGTTTTCCCCCTCTCACCTCGCCACTTGGTCTCGTTTTCCCGTCTCCGTTTGCTTTTCTCCCTTATACAAGGTGCCACCTCACTACCTTCGCATATCTCTAGTCATTGTGTGAGTAAGTCCATTCCCTTCGCTATATCTCTACTTATTCTACTATAGCCACCTTATTGAAATGGACAATCAGCCAGCTATTGGGGAACCCGGGCAGGTGCACAGTCAAGAGTGTGTACAGAGATTCAAGGGCTGGCAGTCCGGGAAAGGGCAATATGGTTCCCCTGAAAATAGCGAGAAAGGGCCCACAATGAGAATTTCACCGGGGGATTTCCTCAGGTTCAAAAAAGTTCTGAATGTTGATGAGGATGAGAAGTTAGAGGATTTTTATTTTCCACAAGTAATTTACTTACTCGTGCTAGGTTTCCGAGATATTCATGGGACACACCATGCTCGACGCTTATAATCCGATGCATGCCGAGCCCTTTACACACAAAGGTTGTATCTACCATTTGGAGAGGCCTGAATTATACATGCAGAAGGCTTCCAGCGGACGTCGCGAGAAAAATTGACATAGTGGGAAATCAGCTATTTGCCGAGTTTCATGGGGAGTGTGAGGAATCGGAGAAGATACCGGACGCCACATTACAAGTGGAAAATGCTGTTGGGAGTCCTGATGTGAAGTTTGTCCTCCAGGCTGGTCTCTCGGAGACATATGGCAGGCTAGTTGAGGATGCCAGAATGTGGCTAGAGGTCCGGAAGACGGTGTCGGCAGTTATTCTTGTCAAGATTGAGGAAAGCCCAAGTTACCAGTGTCAGACTCAAAAGCTTAGTGGTGAAGAGTCTCGTCGGTTGGTATTTCCCATGCGTGAAGGGGTTGGGGCACCGATATTCACCCTGGAGCATGATTATGGGCCTGCTGTTTCCAAGGGTCTCACTTGGGCTGGAAAGATTACTGGATTCGTCGAGATCTGGAGGAGGGACCCGAAGTCTGGATTAGCTATTTGCACTAGCGACCGCATGGTGAGTAAGCACGTGGGAAGAATTTACTAAGTAGCTCATGCTGACGAAAACAGGATCTTTCCGACAGTTGCAATCTCCAAACTAAATTCCGGCTGAGTGAGTTCTTAGAAGTTGCTCATGAGGATGACTGTGAAATATGTTTCGACTGGGAGCACTATCTTGACAATCTGGGGCGCTATATCAAGGAGCTGGAGGCTTCTGGGTGTCATAGGATGTTGAGAGATCTTGAGGGACCGGTTGGTTATCAAAGGCTGCCTCTACCAATCCCCTCCCCATCGTTTCACGGCAGCTAATTGGTCTCTTGTCGCTCTCTTTCTGCGCTGGGGCCTCCTCGGGGGGGTGGTAATCTGGGCTTTTTTCTTCTTCTGAAATGTTTTACAGAGGTTTTTGTGCTGTTCACTTGCGGGTTCCTTGTAGGTCTTTTGTGTTTGAGATTGGTAGCTTTCTGGGAGGAAGGTTGTTTATTTTTAAACTTGTGCTGGGAAAATAGAGATTTCTCCACCCTGAGCGCTGCAAGATAGCAGACCCATCGGCCTGGATTTGTAGTTTGCGCTGGACAAAGTGGGGGAAGGTATTGCTTCCCTTGAGCGGCAAACAAGCTGGGGTTATCTTATCCGGTAGCCAGGATCTCGTATGATGTTGCAAGAATTCGGAAGTGTGTCGTCCAAGTGAAGCAATTGATTCTAAGGTATCTTCGTCTACTGTGCTGGCTCGGCGAGGTCGGGCCTCCGCCGGTTACTAGTAGGCTGCTAGTGCTTAGTTCTCGCGGCTTCATTGGCCCATGCCGAGGTCAGATTGTGGGGTATACCCGAGTATAGAAGCCTATCCCAGCGGCTACCAGTCACACGCTACACCAGATATTGATTATAGTACGTGTCCGCCCTAGTCTGAGTTTCACCAGTATTGTACAGTGGACCGCCACCGTATCTTTGTAGCTAAATTAAGTTATCTTCTGTACGCTGGCGTTCCTCTTTTCGAAACCAGGGCTGCAGCCGGTGGGTTGCTTGCTTGCAAATACTGAGTAGAAGGACTGCCCGGTTGTTTGGAAGGGCACGTGAAATGGGTGGTAAAAGACCGGTATAATCTGCTTGGGCCGGATCCGCCGTACCGCAGCGGACCTAGTTTGAGATCTACTTGTTAGCTAGGAACGAATTGTTACATTTTCATTTTTCCTTCTGATCCCTTTGATTTTGATCTTTCTTTCCTGGCAGGAGTCTGCGAGGGTGTTGGCTTAACCGGTCGCTTCTTAAGTAGTAAGAATGTGCAATGGTTGTACGCTGGGCAAATTGAGAATAAAGTTTTCCATCCCACCTGTTAAGAGATACACTCGGCAGAGTAGCTATCCACTCTAGTGTTCGTGGGCAGCAAGGCGGACCTCTGAACATCGTGCCCGGGCGATATCGACGGACGGACTGCTGAGGAATGCGAGTGATCGGACATGATTACGCTGATCAGGGGTTCCCAAGACGTTCGCGTATATCGACATAGATCAAATGGAGCACTGGCGTATGACTCAACACCCCCTGAGCTTGTGTGGCCGTACCGGCGATATGCTTTCCCTATCGATATTTCTTATGGCCATGGGGGGTGAGAGACTGCAGGCGTAGAACTGAATGCAGACCCGGAGCCCGCCCTTGTGTTCTCCCCCGTATTCCCGCGTTCAGCCTGGTATTCAGGATCGGAAAAAAGAGACAGTTTGTGTTGCGGAATCATCTGGATGAAAGAGGGCACTGAGAGCCATGTTGCGGAGGAGAGGCCATCTAGGAAAAATGATAGGCAATTAGGGTTTATTATGGAAGAACTGAAGTGGCGGGGACAGCGTAATAAGGAATTGTGAGTGTACACCTAATTTGTCTATGTTTTGGGATAATAAGGAGAGATTGGAACCCCCCCCCCCCAACAGTCACATTGCCCTCAGAGCCGTAAGCTGAACCGAATATTTTGATCTCTCTTCATGCTTCCCGGGCTTGAGCGGGTAGAGGATAATTTTAGGTACCGAACCCTATTATCGCAAATATTTGCGAATATCTGTCGATATCTGCAGGCACCCAAATATACCCGTGACCATCAGGAGATATTTACAGGTGCCCGGGGATAATAGCAGAAGCCTGGGGATGCCTCTAGGTATCCGTGGGTATCTAACGATGTTTGCTAGTATTCGAGCGGCAGAATTGGTTATTAAGTTAGAACATATCTAATCTAAAAAAAAAAATCTACTAACAGATGCCGAAAGACCGCCGGTGCTATCCCAAAACCATCAAGCCAGGCGTAGAAAGCGCGTGTGGACCTCACCTTCACCCTCCCCGACAGAGATACAGTACAGCTCGCCATATTTAAAAGTATCAGGAAGTCTGGCTGGCTAGCAGCTTGGCAAACCCTTGGGCACTATCTCCTGCCTATACCGGAAACGGAGAGAGTCTTAAGAAGGGGTGTGTCGAGATCTTTGACGGTGGTCTTCAAGTGTTTGTCCTATTGTTATTGTTATTGTTTTATTATTATCTGTTAGTACTGTGCTAGTGCCGTACTCCTCAGCGATCCCTCCTGCCGAATTGGCCATCCCGACAACCGCTAATCTACTCGAGTAGTCCGGGCTTCCTGTTGGAAACCAAGAATATCCATAGCACTGGTACCTGTAGTACACGAATTTCCAAGTCGGTGTTACCCGCGGGATTTAGTTGCCGGGCTTATGGTATTAAAAACATTTACTGTAGTTGAATTTCTCCCCCCGGGTTATCAAAAAACGCAAGAGATACTAATGTAGGTTCCAAAACTATCCTAGATTTCAATAGACAAAATCCTAGGACTAACGAAAATAAATTGCTGTTTTGGTAGCTAGAAGTACCCAACTGAACTCAACAAAAAGGTAGATAAAATAAAAAAAGCAGCTCCCTATTCAAAAATCCCCAAGACTCATTGCAACCTTTACTACTTTATCAATAGACATCCCAAAAAATGAGATATTTGTTGGTAACGACGTGGGGGGGAAAGTCCAAGGAATTTTCTTAGGTATGTGGTAAAATCTGGGTTCTGTTTGTTAGATGAAAGCGGTGCTATTGCTATAGATGCCGCTACTTTGGGCTCGAAACGCACTTCTGCTGGTGGTTTTTGTACCGAGCCTCGTGCTGTTATCAACCGGAACGCTAATAAGTCCTAGTGCTCCTCCCAGCCCAGAACTGGCGCGTTCCGCGGAGACCACCCGGTAGAGATAGCGTATGATAGGAAGAAGATAACGCTATCCCTAATTCCCGAATCTTTGCCTAATGACATTGGGCGTGAGAGAGAGCGATAACCCATAACTGCATGCGCGCATGGGCAATCCGGAATTCAGAGAGCGTGAATGTTGATAGCATAAGTGTTCGGTAACCGGGACTCCGAAGTGCCTCACCCTCGAGCGGGGCTATCATGGGGGGAGAAGCTATGGATTAGCCATCTCGAAGCACACTCCTATATTGGTACGCCCCCGAGTAACATATTTTAAGATTATGCCTGGGGCCAGGGGGAATGATCGAAAGGTTAAATTGAAATCTTAATTTAATATGGCTAGGGAGAGAATTGCCCAACTCACGGTTAGGAGTGACATGTCCCGGTAACGGTGAACGTGTGGAGAAGACCTCACACGCCGGGGGGAGGGAAAGAAAAGAAAAGAACACGGAAAATCCGTAACCTAGGGTTTCTACTGAACTGACTACTACTGTTGCGTACTTGCCCTTTCATAAAGTTTTCGGGGGCCCGGGACTCGATTGGCACCTATATTGGTACCAAAGCGTCTGGACAATTCGTAAATTGGAAAGTGTCTCCTGCTCATGCTGCAAGAAGAGTACTTTCTGGTGTACCGGTACTCTAATGAATAATACACAGTTGGGCAGACACATAACATGGGCTGTTCTAGTGGAATGAGTGTTAGGCCTTTATCCCCCCTCAGGAAATCATTGCGGAAAGTCCCGCTCTTGGGTAATCGCTAGATTACGGAGAAGAGCTGAAAAACACACCAACTCAGAGACCACCCCCCGAGGCAATAAAGTAGGTGTCGTGTAGATTTGATACGAGAGCTAGACCGCATGTATTTATTTTGTCCCCACCCCTTGCTCCGGATTTTACTCTCACATACTTTGGGTACAAAGCGCGGAGATTTTGGTCCGGAAATTTACCAACAAATAGGGAATTCACACCGTGGACTGACAGATAGCTTTTTCGAGAGACTCTTTCCCGATGTTAGGGGGTTTTTGAGTTTGTTTTGTCGGTTATTCTTTGCACCATACGGGTCCTCAATGCTATCGGTTCGAATGCTTGAAAACGTGCAAAACTTGAAGGATCGAAAGAAGATACCCCCCGCGGTAGAGGTCTTCCTTAACCTCGATTGTGAAAAATGGGAGGGGAAGGTCAGCATGGAGAGAGCAGGTAGTGTTGCCGGGAGTGAGCATGCTGTTATTATATTCTTGTATGTGCGATGGTTGGAATCGGCACGGGAATGCTGTAGCTGTGAGAGGTGGAAATAAGGGAATGTCTGTTGGTATTTATGGCGGGAATTGGGGAAATGAGGAGCGGAATGGAATTTTGGATTCGTTCTTGCAATCTAGGTGGCTGCGCTGGACTAGTAAACTTGTATTTATTGTTTATTATTACTGCCGTTCTGGGCTTTATCGAAATGAAATGCTATAAGGGTTCACCTTCAGTTTTCAGGCAGCCCGCTTAGATAAACGAGTGATTGTCTATGATCGGATATTCGCACTATTTCGCACTCTTCCTGTTCTAACCGGGAGGGGTCAGGGCATTTTGCACTAACAACACTTGAGCAATAGCTGGGCTGTGCTCGGGTAGAAGACATGAAGAGCATGAGTCGATATTGCCTCTTCAGCCCACACTTTCCGCTGCCAATACAGTAACCCGCGTTACCCAGTAAAAGAATAAAGAAATATCGTACACCCCAACCCCCCCAGTTTCTGCCCCCCTCATCCCGCTAGGAACTCATACTAAACTAGACTAAAAATAGGCCTGAGAGGGTTCAGCAACCGGGATTCGCACATGATTGCCCACTGTGTACCAACCGGTAGATAGGATAGTTGTTTATCGCGGGGCGGACGGGATGCCAAATTCTCATCATTCTATGGCCGATCACAGCATATATTCTCGCTTTCACCTTGGCCCTCAGTGAAAAGGGATTCAGAGGTTTGGGGGAGGGGACTGGTTTCCGGATCCGGTTTCCAGTCCATTGGCACCCCCCTTTTTTTTCCCCCCTGATGCCGCGGGAGGTAGAGATCGCGCAGCAAAACTATCGATCACACTCGCGCGTTATCATCCTCGCACAAGAGGGGGGGAGTTGGGCTTTCTGGAAGATGAGAGAGCTCCTCTCGACTTCCCTTCACTGACAACCAAAGTGCAATTGATAATGGTCGATGTGATACCTTTTTGTCGGAACATGCCGGCATGCACCATGTGGGACAGCAGACTACTCCTGTGTAGGTAGCCACTTGCATATGATACCACCAATACCAATAATATGGTTTAACACTGAGTCTTGGTGCATTCATCTGGTTGACTTATCGGTTTAAT